TAGATACACATATAAATACACTTATAAATATATATGTAATGTATATATATAGTATATCTCGCACTCATATAAAGCTTATTTTTTGCAGCTGCCGTCGCATCGTCGGAGACCCCTCAATGAAATTACTTGCACAAATTAATGCCGCACAATTACCCACATCAGAGCCGGGCAGAGCCAGACAATTGATTGTATGATATCTCTGGCACATATGTCGGCATGCTATATGCATACATACACACATACATTTATATATCGCACTCTATGGATCTATATATATGTATATATACGTATGTGCACATATTTTTATTTTTGTGTGCTGTTATATTTACTTTCGCATTTCTTATTGCTGGATATTGTGGGCGTTATGGTCATTATTTGTTGTTGTTCTGTCGCGTGGTTATTAACACATTCGAGTCGCACGCACACATACTCACACACATACTCTCGAGTTGCACTTGATTTAATAAATTTGATTAGGATTTATGAGCGTGTGGGTTTTTAATTTTACATCCAAAGCCTGCATACATATATTCACGAATTTCATAAAGTTTATAGCTCGACTTTAAGGCCAAGTAATTCGATCATGTGATCGATGAGACGAAAGCAATAATAAAAATACGAAATGGTTATATCATTGTGGATAAATGGCAAATCGCTGCATATCAATTGAAATATGAAGCTCAAATAACATTCAAGTCATTTATCCAGTCCAGTAGGGTTACGGATAATTACGGATAGCGCTCGGAATGTAGATGAATGTAAATATGTAATAGATGAATGGAATGCAAAAAAGCTTAATATTTAAATGCCTCGCTGGAATATTTCTTCATCATTAATCGGTTTTAGTTGTTAACTTACTTAGATAAGGTGTGGTAAGTCTCCATGTGGAATTCTAAATGCCAAAAATTAAATTACTTAAGCAAATAACCATATCACGAATGGTATGCAAAATTCTATTTTTAACCAGCTGAGTAATCGAGTATAAATAAAGCTTGCACAAAGCTACAGAAAGGTTGTTCGTTAGCCGATAAATGCGAATGACCCACTTGAAATAATCGAATAAAATATGGCATATATTTATTTAGATTAGACTCAGATCATTAATTACTTGAAAGTGCAATAGCTTAACATAATAATTAATTCATCTAGACCCAATCAATTGAGACTATTAAAAGTTTCAACTAAATCCGCTGCCATATTGATAATGGATAACATTTACACCATTTAGTTCCCAAGTGGATAAACGCATATTCAACTGTTCGCCATTTTGTAACTGATATCATCAAACGCGTGGGGTAGTCAATTGAACAAATAAGCTGGGCAATATAGTTGAACGGTCAGCGAGAGAATATTAATACTTAAAACGTTTTAATACACATAATTAAATTCAATAAATGTGGGAAAAAATCAACTCAAATCCGCACATTTAATTAAAAAAGATTAGAGCGGATAATAGCATGAATGAAATGCAATCTAGAACCGAATACGATAACGTTCACGAAAATATTTAATAAATAATGTTGGCAAAACGAATATAATCTACGCACACAGATTCGAAATCACATTGCACAACGCCAAATGAATTATTATCCAGTTTATGGGCAGGTGTAAACGGCAACGACTTTCATGTTCAGCGCCGGGTAACTACCCCGAAAACAAACCGGAAAGAACATATGGCAAAGGCGTGACGAAGATTCAATACTCTTTTAGACAAAAAGTTAGTATTAGTAATACTTATTAATACTTAAAAGATGATTTAAGATTATAATCTAAATATTTCTATCCAAATATCTAATGAAACTAAGAGTAAGGAAAAGTTCAATTTCGATAATATTTATAAATCATCAACACTTATGTTAGGGTATGTATATAAAATACAAACTTGTTTCCCAATATATTTAATACAATATTATTATTTAGTTACCTAAATGTTCTCAACATCGAATTATACATTTATACGTTTACATAGTTTTTTTTTAACTATCAATCCAATCACTCTAGTTCCAATGCAATGTAAGAGTATAACAATAAAACTGATACCAAAATTCACTAAGCCAACGAACTTAATTTATGGACAATACATGATGGGCATAGGAGGAGTATCTAAATTTATACCAATATACATGTGTGTGTGTGTGTGTATTTCTATCGAATTTGTAGCTTGTGGATTGCAGGATAAGCACAACCAGCAAACGCCGTGACAGGTCAAACGGGGCTGTCACCTATAAATAAAACGCACAGCTCAGCAATTTTAGACAGACCTAAAGCAAACTCAAATAAAGCCTATCGATTTTGTGAAAGAAAAACCATTTACCTGTCAGCCACACGCACATACACACACATGCACGAACACACGCACTGAGTACCTTAGTGGGGTAAGTTTTTTCCATTGGGTTAGTCGGTCGCGTTGCCACAGACCAATCAACAAATAGATAAAACCAACAAACAACAACAGCAACTAAAGTTGAACGAACTGGTTGAGAGACTAGTCCATAAAGTAATAATAGTATATAAAAATAAACTCGAATCTCAATTGGAGAATCAGAAGTCAACTGAGCTAGCAGCTTCGTCTCGTCTGCGTGATTTTAAGCTGAATTCCCCATCATCTGTTTGCGATGATTCAGAGCATAAATCAAATCGATCGACGTCGTCGCCTGGTCACGTACTACAACAAATCGTCAGCGATAGGCGATTCGAGTCCGAGCTACTCTGTCGACTTATTCAAATCGATTGATTCGATTTATGTTGGCCCCACTAGTCACACACAAGCCTTCCCTACAAACACACATTGGAAAATACCCTGGACAAGAAGAGGGTAACTGGGTTTTTTATACTATGAGATCAACAATAAATTTCTCCATCTCCCTATCCTCCCTTTCGTTTTTGTTTTTATGAACTTCAATTTTATAATTAAAATTATAATATAATAATATTAACATAATTAAATTTTACATTTCCTTATAAAATTTAAGAAAATGTATTTTTGAATTTTATAATTAAAGCTCAACCTTTGGATTATACTTCCATTTATATGCTCTATATATAACTACTATAATATTTTATATGCTTACATAAGATTAGTTTTTAGATCGTTTAGAAAAGCCTGTTAATTGTCTGATAGCGCTTTTAGGTGTCAGAAATGTGTTTAGTGATGTTTAAACAACTCACGTTAATCTATCTCTCTATCTCTCTGGCTGTCTCCACTATATATCGTGTATATTATATCTGTACTAGTTGTGCATCTTAATAGATGGATAATAATTTCTATCCATTTCCATTGCTCCATACACAATGACACAGAGTATTTGCTCGCCTCTCACCCTCTCGGACGCTCTTTTAACTTGGTCTTAACTGTTTCTCATGCGCTTGAACGGCATCCGAACGGATCGGTAATTGCTATATTTTTTCACTTGATTGCTTACAGTCTCATGTGTGTAAAAAAATTTGAAAAGTCGTTTTGCGGCTCACGTGAGTGACTGACTGACTGACTGAATAGACCACCGCCCCGTGGCTAAAGACATGAACCCGGTTTTTGAGTCAACTGTTTTTTTTTTTTTTTGTCGTGCCTCTTTGCTGGCAATTGAGCGAACGATTCGATGGTCATTTGTGACAGCTACGCAAAGCCATAATTTGTCTATTTGCCAGTTAGATAAACATTTTGTGAGAATGTGCGAAATACATATATACATACATACAGGTAAATATCTCTAAACATCCATCTCTGTTCTCTATAGACTCGCCTAGATGCCTAATAGGGTCGTCGCCGCTGATAAGATAGCCAAATTTTAACTGCCTGTCTTCTAAACTGATTTTCTTGCATAACTTTTATTTTGATTTAACTGTTTTATTTTTCTTTTCTTCAACCGAAGTTCTAGCCAAAGTCAAAAGCCCGTCGTAAACGGAGTAATTATTCAAGCTTCACGCAAAACATGTGAATATAAAAAGTTTGTAGAACCTTTTTTGTTAATAAATGTTTTTACGACTTCGACTGAAATTCTCGACTTGTGGGTGGAGCTCAAAATATGACTATGATTTCCTTCAAATTAATATTTCGTGAATCGAACGATAGCAAAATGATAAACTGTTTACAAACTGTTTATAGTGAGTCATTCCAAGCCAAAGCATGCATCATAATCTATTTCAGTTAGTTTCTACAATAAAGTAACGCCTGTGGCTGTGGACTTACGGGGAACTTTTCAAGCCCATAAAATATAAATTACCTTTGTCAGATTTATTATTTTATTGGTTATTATTTAGGATTTATTTTGTACTTTAATCAGTTTCTATTATTAGAAAAAAATTTTACAAACTCAAATTTGCACAAAAAAATTCAAATATTATTAATTAAAAGGAATGTAAATGAAAATCAGTTATAAAGACATATTTATTTAACACAATAATAAATAAACTATTTTTAATTCTTTGAACAAAAATAAATGTATAAGAAAAGAAAAACATGTTGAATATGTTTTATCATTCAATCCTTATCGAATTCTTTCACAATTTAAGGCTGGACGATCCTATCGAGCAAACCACTAAATTATGTAACAGATTCTTAAATTCTTGATATTTTGTTTATGCTGTTTAAAGCTCATTCTTGTTCTAACTATATAATCATAAACAAGCTCACTTCATAGATCCCTCCATAAAAAAAAAGACAGCTCATAAATTGTGCAAGGTTGAAATTGTTGTCTCTATCTAATCAGACACATTTCGACACAAAAAAAAACAACAAAAAACAGCAACAAAAACTGCGGGACCTCCATGAAGGTGAAAATGTAAGTAACAAAAATAAAAAAAGAACCAAAAGATAAATATTTAAATTTATGGTTAGACTCTGCGCGACTGACTCACAATTTGGGGAATGGAGATTACAAATTTACACCAGAAAAAAAAATACATGTAGAAGCCTTCGCAATTCAACACATAGAAAAGGCCAGCAAGTTAATTTGACAGTTGTCCCTCGTGAGTGCAAGCGAGATAGTAGACGATGCACTTACCTGACGTTAGCTGTGTTGAGTTGTTCTTGTTTTTGCTGCTTTTGCTTATTTCCGTCTTCTTTGCTTCTTTTTTTCTGTCTGCTGCTGCAGTTGTCGATATTTGTTTTCGTTATGTTTTGGGTTCTTATGCTGGCCTCTCCTCTCTCTTTTGCTCACACACTGTTTTTTTCGGATTCCTTTTTTGCTGCTGCTTGCACACACGCGTTTTTGTTTTGCTTGGCTCGTTCGTTTGTATTTTCACTTTCACAGGTAATATTCTATGTGAGGGAAAAAGGTTAGAGAGTGACAATTTTATTAGCTGGCAGCAAAAAAAAACTTTGCTTTCGTTATTTATTTAATTTTTTATATTTCAATTTGTATTTCTCTCTCGTTGCTTTACAAAAATCACATTGGTGCCTTTTTTACACACTAGCCGAGTAAATTTATCGCAAATGCGGCGACTACCTTGCGCTGCGAGCGTTAAAAATCAACTGAATTGACGTTATGGCTAGCCCGCCACTGAGGCGTGAGCGCGCTTTTGATACCGTTACGGGCGACAGCAAGAGAGAAAAGTCACGAGCGCCAAAAATGCGCTAGTATGCGTGACTAAGTATGTTGTGTGGCGACAACCCTCTCTCTCACTCTCCCAAACTCTCACGCTGAACTCATGTCTGGGTGCCTCTGCATCTGTTGTGTGTGTGTGGGTGATTTTATTTCGCTTAAATACGTATACATATACGTTTTTTTATACCGGCTGATTAGTTGATATATTGCTCATTTGGGCAACAACAACATATATACATGCATTTAGATTAGAACAGAACTCTCATAACCAGTTTTAAATAAATGCTAAATATTAGCAATACCCCCAAGCGCTCCTCAAATGCAACACTCTTCACACGTGGTTTATTATATTGCAACTTCACGGAACGTAAAAATTCCCACACACAAGCACAAAAATACCCAAACGGCCACCAAAACGTAACACGTCACAATAACAAAAACAACAACAACATCAACAACGTTTGCGATTCGCTCTCAACATAATTTTGTTCTGGATTCTCTCACAAATACCACTCTCTCTGTCACTCTCTCATTCGTGTACTCTGCATGTGCGTTGTTGCTGGCTTGGCAGACGAAACCGTTTGTTGCTTTTTTTGTTATTGTAAACATTTAGTTAACACCTCTCTTTATAAATCATATCCAGAGAGCCACACAAGATGTGAATTAATATGTTTAACGCTTCTTTCTGCTGACAATGGTTAAAATAAACAACGTAAACTAGAGGGCTTTATATTTAGTAAACTTCTGCTCGTTTTTTATGCGCAACAACAAAAAATTAGGCCTCTAGAGACGGTCCAGCGGTTGACAAGTGTGCGTGCGGCCAGGCCTCCGCACACATACACGCACACACACCCAAACACGCCTGCACGCACTCGGATATTGTAAAAGCGTCGACACTTTTGGGATCTGCCCTAATTTTTTAAGTCAACAGTTAAATTCGCATTCGCGCACAGTTTATTTACCTCTTAGCAACTTCAACGCTATTTGCATTTAATTTTTTATTGCTTTAGTATTTAATGATTTAATTTGAGGTAACAAAAATAAAATTTTCCCGCGACACAAGCAGATGTAAACTGACTGTTAGATTAACAGACTCTCAGAGCGCAGCTGTTTCTTAACAGTGTTGGCGAGGTGATAACAAAAACTGTGACTGCCATCAGTTGGGTAACAGCATTTGGAACTTGCCAAAATACAAATAACATCCAATAAAGGCATAGAGTTCACATACAAATCCTTATTTCATCCCGTTCATACAAGATTAAGTCATATTACTTGGTTCAAAAAATACTTATGCAGTTATTATCTGATTAACAGCATTATTTGCTCACATCTGCTGTTAAGCTAATGTTAAAGCCGATCATTTGATTTATCGGCTTATAAAAGCACCATTTGAGTTAGCAGTAAATTTTGCAGCACTGTTCAATACAGGCGCGCCTTTAAATTTAAATGCTTGAAGTTGGGTAAACTAGCACTGTTAGCCCAATGTAATTGATTTCGTCTTAAATGTGCAGTTGACCAACACTGCGGGCGCACGTTTGAATTATGCGGAAATTTTGACAAAATATTCAATGTTTTTGCAATTTTAGAATTGCTTTGAGTCTTATTCTCAACTTTTTTACATAGTATAAATTTGGTACTAGGATATAAATGCAATTTTAATCTCAGGATTCTACTAATATCATGTTGCACATCTCGTTGTTCTTCTGATTCAGGACAAAAGTGCGGCCAGGTGATTTTATAGTTTGCGTTGAGCGTAAATGCTTGGCATAGGGTTTCTCCACCAACTGTAAATAAACCGTGCGAGTATTGGAAAGACTGTGGAATAGAAATATATATATAAGAAGACTTCACTATATAAGCAGCAAAATTTGGACTCACGTGAGCAGTTGTTCGGCTCGCTCCAGCTGCATGCAGAGCTTGATGTTGCTGTAAAAGTCCAGATCTGCCTGCAGGCTGAGCTTCGGCTCGTGGCGCAGCTCGATTTGCTGCTCCAGCTTGGCATAGGTGAAGCCGACGGCCAGGTGAGAGACGACGGCGGTGCCAGTGCTGTAAGAGAATAATATTTCATGTATAACATTCATATGAGGCAATCCAGATTCACCGCTCCCTCCCGCTTTCTCTATCTTTGTTTGCCCCTACTCACTTTTGTTGTATTTCCGTTTGAGCATTGCGATTCCACAGACTGAAGGTGACTTTGCCGTTGAGATCGACACTGCGAGCGCCGAGCACACGCCAATGGAGAGTGGCGCCCGATGCCAGGACAATGTACTGCTCGTGGTCCTGCGCCAAGGTGGTGGCCTGATAGGCTGGCGTCGTGTCCGAGGCGCTGCCGCCCCACACATGGCCCATCAGCTCCGTCTGCCCGCTGAAGAAGACCAGTGGACGCAGCTGGGCACCCTGCACACTGATCTCCATGCCTGCCGTCATGGTCTCCTCCTGCTCCAGCTTGTCGTCGGCCGGTATCTGATCGTTGCCCTCGTCCGCATCACTGTCGCCCATGAAGGAGCTCAGCCCAGACGTATAGATGCCCAGCTTGAAGCTGCTCGCCTCGGCGCGTCCGGCGTGCAGCAGGAACTCCACGGAGCCGCGCTTCAAGATGCCTTGGGAAACCTCCTGGGTGCTCAGCAGGGTTTCATTGAAGGCGGGCGATGTGGAAAGCTGGCGGCTCAAGACGGTGGTAAGACCTGGAAGCAGATAAAGGAAATAAATAAAGAGCCTAAGCAATTCCAATTTCTAGCCGGGATTACCTCGCTGGGCCAGCACATTGTAGTTGTTGACATGAGCTCGCTGCCTGAGCGCCGCCTGGAACATGGCGCGGAAGCGTGGACAGATCTCGGCCAGCATGCGCAGCTTCTGCAGGACATAGGTCTTGATCTCGAACTGGCGATCCGTGGAGGCCAAATAGTCGAGCAGTTCGCCCAACTGCTCGGCGTTGGGTCGCATGGCCAGCAGGATGTCCAGGGCCAGGGTGCGAGCGGAGCTGTCGTAGCGACGCTGGCGCTGATAGAAAATGCTCGAGAACTGCAGACGATGCGGCTCCGCGTAGTTGAACGCTGGAAAGGCTTTTAGTGCCTGGAGAGCGGCAACCGAGTGCTGGGGTTGCTGCGCCTGCAATGCCTGCTGGAGCAGTGCATCGATGGTCAGCGGATCGCGTAAGTTTTGCAGGGCGCGCGTATAGAGCAGAGTATTGTGAGTGGAAGCCAATCCTTCTAGGAGGTAGTTCCGTATCTGCTGCAGCAGCTGGTCATTGGCGTCGAGGCCGCTCTGGCGGGTGAGCGTGGCCAGCGTTTGGAGCACACTATCCCGCAGCTTGAGATGGGATTTGTGAGGCAGCTTCTGCTGCAGGAAGTCGTACAGATGCTCCAGGATGCGACGTTCCGGGTGCGTGGCCACGGCCAAGGATTGCAAATACTTTTCTAGCAGCTCCAAGGACTCCGCCGTAGTACCTGCTCCTCGATAGAAATGACTGAAGCTGGCGTTGTGCGCTTCGAAGGTTTGCACGGCGCCCAGCAGATCCACTAGCTGCGCTGCCAGCGGCGACTGCGACGCCAGCAACGACTCGAACTCCGCCTGCTTGGCGAGGCGTGCCAAGGGCAACAGCTGAACAAAGGCCGAAGCTAGCGAGGATTTGCCCAAATGCTCCGGCTTCAATTGCTCCAGCATAAGCTCCACTTGTGATTGAAGCTGAAGAGAAAAATGTTTTAATTTATTGAACTCTCAGCAAAGGCTCAACTCTTACCGTTTGCTCCTTCAGCTTGCTGATTTCGCCATCCACGTCCGCCTCCAGCTCGAAGACGCGATACCATTCCAGGAGACTCTCAATGGCCGCTGCCAGCGTTGGCTGCTGCAGTTGCTCCACCCCTTCGCCCTCGGCCAGGTGCTGCAGTCGGAGTTTGCCATGCACCAAGCTACCGGCATCCGGCTTGGCAGCGAGCGTCAGGCGATGCGTCTCCACGGATTCGGCTCGCAGCAGAAGGCCTTCGGCGCTCAGTTCATAGCTCAGCTGCTGTTCGGAGTGCTGTGCCACGCCCAGTGCCTGCTCCGGATGGTAGTTGACGCGCAGGTCCCATAGCGCGCAATCCCGCTTTGTCTTCTCCCAGCGCGTCGAAGACTTCGCTTTGTATTCCACGCGGCAATGCCCCGAGATGTCCAGCTCGGTGTCTGTCACGTCGTTGCTGTCGCGGCGCAGCTGGAAGAGCGAGGCGATGCCGCGTTCCAGATTGAGCAGCGACTGATCTCGCGACGTGTGCGCGATCACCTGCTTGGGCTGACCTTTGACCAGCGCCACATAGAAGGGCCGATCCGGGAGGCTGAGTATCGGGCGCTGTCGCTGCTGCGCCTTGACGTAACTTTCACTCAACTTGATTTCCAACAGCTGGTCCTGCGCATCGTTCCAGACGGAATGAATGCTCAGCTGCGTATCGAATGTGTATTGCACTTGCGCCGCTTCCAGGCTGACCTCGCTGGAAAGCTGGTAGAACTGCTGAGAGCCAGTCGGGATTAAATTGGCTAGAGAGGGATAGAAAAGAGGGAAAGAGACACGTCATTAGCAACTGGAAGAACTTTCACGCGACGGCTTCCAGTCTAGGCTCAAGAGGTTATCAGCAAGAGGTCGTTACTAGCAGCAAATCAGCTGGCAGCGCTGCCGCTCTGCTCACTGTCAAGACTCAATTGTTGCTTTGCCGCTCTCTCGCTCTTTTACTCGCTGCTAAGAAACTTAATCGTGTTTGTGCGTGTGCGGCTTCTCTGATAGCCATGCTTGCATATGTATGCGTACATTATAGTAATAAGAACGATTGAGTGGTGTGGCAGTCTCCCGCTCTTTTGCTATGAGTATCTGTGCATGTATGCATGTGTTTAACAATCATTATTGCATGTGTGTGCGTGCATTACAAGCACGATTGAGT